CTCTCATCTTTTTAAGTGGGAGAACTTGCACAATTGGTGGCTGACTAAATACTTTTTTGCCCCACTGTAAGTAGGCCAAAAGGAACCATAGAAGCCCTTCCCCACACCAAGTAGTATGAACAGCAATCAGAAGTAGCTGATGGACAGCCATGGAGGATATGTAATTGTGATTAGCAGCACAGCTGGCAAAACCAAACTCTCTTTCCAGTGAAACTGACCTGTGCAGACAGTTAATCTTGTTTTTAAAAACAGATCTTGTTTTTTAAAGGAAGGTCTAGTGCTCTCTATAACAAGCATTTTGAAAATAACTCAGTGCTATTTCACAAGAGTGATGAATGTGTTAAAAAGGAGCCCTGCTCCTTTCAGTAGAAGCTGACACCCTCCTACTGATTTCTTATCAGGACTAATCTTGCGTTTCTTTCACATTATCATTTGAAATTCATGATAATTGCACATAGAGAAGAATAGCTCATTTTGAATCTTTAGTCGTGATATTGTCATAAAACAAGCTGAGCTAAGCTGTGGTCAAACTGCTAGAAACATAGATTGCTCTCAGAATATCAGTATGATGTTGCAAGAACCAAGCTGCTTGGGGTCTAACCCAGCTTGGTGTTGACTATTCTAAAGTCTCTGTTAACACAGTGCTTTTGTTTTGCCTAAAACATTCATCAGCTGGTTTGGCAATGTCAACCTGACCCAGGCTGCTATGGCATTGTCAGTAAAATTGTTGTTTCACAAGCAGTTGTTTGTGCCAGGTTCTTAGAAAATGCCTTAAAAGGCACAACAGAACTGCTGTGATTTGGAATGAAAGGTGACAGAAAAAGCCATGATTCATTTAATAAGCCACAATCAACTAATTGCACACAACATGCTAAACCCACACCTATGATTTAGAAAATATAATGGTTGGGTCTGCATAACATCAAAACTAATGCCCCAGGCTTGTTAGCATGTTGTTACATTTTGCTTGTCCAGCTCTGGAATGTTTTGATGTCTGTATCCCTGGATGTTTTGGACTATATTGCTTGCTCATACTCTGTGTTGTCGCTGAAGTTCTGCCTAAATTCTGTTGCTGTTCTTTTTGTCTTTGGAAGAACTTATTCTTGTCACTGTGGAATGTCTTGGTATTTGTTGCTTGGCCTTTCTTCTCTTTGCTGCTTGATATCCCACCAGACAATCCCACCACATCTGAGGAAGCTGTTTTATTTTTTATTTTTAAAAAGCATTGGCTTCACAGAATCTCATTCATCCCATGTTCCTCAAGCTGGGTTGGAGAGTTTGTGTTCCACTGACTACAAAACCCAGGAACAGAACAAGCAAACGGCATAATGAGTACAAGATGGGGGACAATGACATTACAGGTACTTCTTGAGTTACAACTGCAATTGGGACCAGAATTGCCATTGCTAAGCAATGCAGTCGTAAAGTATGAGATCACAACCTCATCTCTTAGCAAGAGCAATCCAGGCAGTCCCAGTTGTCATCATAACCCAAGATGTGCAGGTCATTAAGCAGGAAGCAGAGGAAATCCCAGGTAAGGAGTACAGGGGTGCCATGGGATGGGGGAGACTCTGGGAGGTCTGGTACAGGCTGCCCGTGAGTCAAGGGAGGAGGCGCTGTGGTGTGGCGTTCAGGAAGGCAGGGGAAAGAGGGCACAGGTGTGTGTGTGTGAGTACAGGGAGGCCAAGGAAAGAGGGTCCAGGATGTATGTGAGTGAAGAAAGGCTGGAGTGGGGAGGGACTTACCCGAGCAACTTGTGACCTTCCCTGCCAGCTTCCCCATTGCTGCAACTGGTCGTAAGTGTAAGCGCCCAAACTTTGTTCACGTGATTGTGGGGGCACTGCAACAGCTGCAACTTCGAGGATCGGTCATAAGTCCCTTCGTTCAGTGCAGTGGTGACTTTGAATAGTTGCTGAACAATTGGTAACTCAAAGACTACCTGTATAAGGGTCATTGGGAAGGACATCATCAGGAGGGGCTTCTCTGAGGGCCTCCTCTTCCTCCACAGTCCATATTTGTTCGTTTCTCTGGCTTGAATCTGCACTGTGATCCAGAAGGAGAGGTGATCATAGAACTTGAGTCTGTTAGGGAAAAGTGTGTACAAAAAGGTGTACAGTGGAAAATACAGGAACAGTATGTAATGGAAGGGTACATAAGAATAATGATTTCTATGCAGTTTTTCCCTATCTTCCTCTTCCTCTGTGTTATTCAAAAATGGAAATGGGCCAAAACTGGCTGGGAAGAAAAAAAATGTCAGATTCACTTATCCCTTTAATGGAGGGCTATAGCACCCAAAGTGGCTACAGCTGTTGGGTTTTTTATTATTATATATATATTTTTGGTAGAAGTGTTTAAACAGAGATAAATAAATGGAAGGCAGTAAGGTTCATTTTGGAATAACATCCTGAGGATTCTGCTGCGCTCTTTTGTCTCCTTTGAGTTCCGAGTTTTTCCTGACAGGATCATGAAAATTGCTAATTCTCTCTATCCCACAAATGAAAAAGACTGAGCAGGGGTTACAGGGTATATCCAAACACAAAAGAACTGGCTTATCTCCTAAGCAGCCCTGAATAAGAGTATTAAATCTAGAATCTAGAAATACCAAACTATACTACTTTACCTGAACATTTTGCAAATGTTAGTAGATTTATATGTTTGGAATCTGAGTGTATTTCACTGGTATTAAGGCTGAATTTAGAACAAGGCAGACTTAGCTTTTAGGGACTACAGCCCTTACTATTTGCATGTCTTGAAATCTAAAATCTTCCTCTGACAAACTGCTCTTGGGAGAGCACCCACGTATATTAGAGGCCAATCATATTGGGTTCCTAATTTATGCACTGAAGATGCAACAAACATACTTTATTTTGTTTTGATTTTATGCCAGAGCAAACCAGGAAATAATGAATGCAAATTTAGGTATGGATTAGAGAGATAAGAAAAAAAGGGGAGGAGTCAGTTTTTTATGACTCGGGTTGTGAACATCAAATGACCAAATGTTGCCTTTGAGAAATAAGCAATTAAACTTCAATTCTAAACTCCAGTTACTGGGGAATACAGGGGTGGCTAGGGGAGGTTCTTGGTTCACTATGCACAAGACTGTGTCATACTGTGTATAATTTTCCCTTAATATTGGGACTGAATTATCTAAACTTAGATGTTAGGCTTGAATAGAAAAGCCAAGAGATTATACAATTTACCTACAGGTTTTTCATTCAAGAGGATAAACAACAATTTATTCAAAGATAATGCAAGAAGTTATTCTGAGAACAATTAGGAAGTCATCCTAAACTTCTAAATTATCCTTGTTTCTAATCTCTCCTATCAGAGGCTGGATTACTTGAAGAGAGCTTTTGAAAATAGGCCAAGGGCCACAAGTCACCTATCCCAGCTTTGAACAGATGGGGAGAAGCGTGGTTACAGCAGAGCATAAGATCTCTGTTAAATTCCCTGACCTTCCACTTCAAGGCTTTTCTCCTGTCAAAAGGCTGGAAGTCCCCTATCTAATCCATGGACTGCGGTTGTCTAGCCCTGGCTCCACCTGTGAGGGGGGACCCTCCACCAACCTATGGCAGGTTCATTCAGCAATAGGCAATGGTGGAACTGGAGGGGGTGCTCTTTCTATTTCCCATAATGCTCTGAAATGATGATATGCTGGGAATACTGTGGAAAATCAAAATAGCTACTACAATGTTGATCCAAGCAAGATGTTTTAAGTGGGGAGACTGTTATGATCCCTGTCTCTTAGACTTTGTAGCATGTAGCAGAAGGATAAAGAGTCATCAAGTCATTAGTCCCATAGATAGGAATATCCTAGCTGGAGGGCACAGTCATCAGACTTGAAGCATGTATTCCCAGAAGAATTTCCATCTCCCTGGTCTTCCAGAGATGTAAGATAGCCAAATCAGATGAGGGTTCTTAACAGTTCTGATAGCTTCTCTAGGGAGTGGTCTGCAATATAAATCCTGACTTCCTACATAAGGCTTCAGAGCAATATTTCTCAACCTTGGCAGCTTGAGGATGTGTGGACTTCAACTCCCAGAATTCCTCAGCCATCAAGGCTGGCTAGGGAATTCTGGGAGTTGAAGTCCACACATCTTCAAGCTGCCAAGGTTGAGAAACACAACTTCAGAGTGTTGTACAGTACCCTATTACTCCTGCCAGCAGAACATTTGGAGCTATCCAAGGTCCTTATTCTACTGGGCCTTGGCTCAGCTGGCCTTCAGCTCCCTTCACTAAGAGTAGTGCCTTAATCTTTCCTGCAGCTGCTAAATTTTCCTTATAAATATTTCAGTAACTGGTTATTCTTAGAGGCTCCACCAACTGCCTCACGGATTAATCAATCAATCAATTGGTTTATTATTGTGACCAAAGATCATAACAACATTACATAGAATTTTAAAAAAAATAGTAATACAAAGAAAAAGAAAGAAATCAACAACAACAACAAAGAAAAGGCATGCAGTGGAGTTAAGATGGAACCAATACTAAAATTAAGAGCTTAAAAATGTCTAAGTTTTAAAAAAGCACGGAAAAGGGAGCAACCTCACTAACGACAGTTGGAATCATATGTATACGGAGGTAGTTCAATTGTTTGGTGACTTACCCCCAAAGTTTGTTTATCATCAGTATTTTCCTCTTAATTTCCTCATTGATAGGTCAATAGAAGATGTAATGGATGATACCCTCCACTTGGCTAACACTGCAAGGGCAGAGATGCCATTCCTCTGTATGTTTACCAAGTCTCCCTTTAAGGCATGCAGTGGGCATGGTCTGAAAGCAGAGAGATGTAACAGCCTTCCTCAGTGAAGCATTAGTGATGTTGACCATATATTGGGAGAGGCTTCTATGTTTATTATAATGGTGGTACCAAGATGAAAAAGTTGAAGACTGAACCACAGTAGTACCTGTACAGGCATCTCATTCAAAACATTTATCTCTGATTTTTTCACCGCTACAAGAGCTAAGTTCCCCTAAAGGGGGCAGGGAACACAATTGTACTGTAGGATAGGAAACAGGAGTCTGGTCCATTGATCTCCACATGTAATGCAAAAAATAGAATTTAACTAAGTGGGGATCTTGAAGGCTTTCTAATTTCTTACAGCACCTTAACGGTGCAAAGTAAATTCTAACAGAGATTGAGAATAACCCCACTACCATCCTAAGGTACGTGGCATAAGTACCTTAGAGAGGCCCAAAATGATTCCTTTGGAAACTGTTCTGGACTTCTTCCAACCACTTCCAATGACCTTCTCATCCCACCCCCAGATCTCAGCCCCATATAATACAGAGGAGAAATACTGAACCCAATTTTGTGCTGGGATGTGTGCATCTGGTGAAGCGTTATATGTATGCATGCTGTTAGCCACTAATTCCTAACATTTACTCTCATTTTGGGAGTGGGGATTATATTGAGGCCAAGCTCTTTCCATTGGCTCATATAATAAGAAAACTTCTTGGACTTTAATAATTGCTTATATTGGGATTGAAATTGGATCAATAGCTCAATTAAAAAGCTTGTCTCTGAAGTCTACAGTTATGATGAAACCATCCCTTCTTTATATTAGCCTTTCTGAGTTTGCATACAGTGGTCAGGTGAGAGTGTAGCACCTGATTGATTGCACTGAAAATAAGATACACATTTGAGATTTGCAATAGGAGATGCCTCCAATTCAGCATCTGCTGAGTATTTAGTAAAGCAGTAATTTTCTTACTGAGGGTGGAACTCTACCTAAGGCGATGCTTAATCTAAGTAACACCATCTGGATTATAACATCTCACAGGGAGAGGACTTGCGGATTTAGTATATTGATGCAGGGCCTGCAATTACTAGTCAGAGGGGGCAGTATCTGGCTAGATGGAGTACCGGTCAGAAGCCACATAAAACTTCAGTCAATTAAACTGTGGGTCATGCCAGTTTAACTGCTTTCTCCAGAGCCTGTCTCACCTGATGTATGCAACTTCCTCTTTTCAGAAAGTGCCAGAAATCCAGGGGCACTCTTATCCGTTATGGTATTGTGCATCTGCACTCTTTCACATGGGGACCATGGCACGTATCTGACAATAGCAGCTTCTGCAAACAGCAGAAAATAATTCAGAGACTATGCTGGCAGGGATGTCTGCCAACAAAGAAACAAGCTCCTGGGGTGGGGGGGGGGATGCATAAGTATCTAACTGGTTTCAGAGACTAGCAAAAAGCATGATAGGCTAGGCTTTATTCTGTGACATAAATGAAGCAAAGAACAAAGAGTTGGGGAAAGCAAAGCTAAGTGACTTGCCTAAAGGGAACCTACATTAACAGCACAAATTCAATTGCTATCAACCCTGGTCTCAAGCTAGTAAAGCCTTTGGCTTCTTCTAAATTGTATTACATAGAATTTGTAATCAGGAGTAGGAATGACTGGGGATGGGGGAGGAGAGATGGTGAGTTATGAAGACAAACAGCATCCAGTAAAAGCTCAAATGATTGAAACTGGAGGTAGCCACAGAGGAACCTCAAATGGGGATTAAACTTTTATTGGGGTGTCTTCAGAGGGGAATATAGGATTCTCAGTTGGAATGGGCACTCTCATGGAGTTTTTAATGCATTCCCACTTCCTATGAGATTTCTGTTGCTTCTCTGTATACCTTCTGAATGGAAAGTCCTGGATATGGGTGGAACAGGTTAGGAGTACCTGCAAGTGTGTTGGGGAAGGGGAAGCTCTTGATGATAAGTCTGCTTTTAAAGTAGGTGATAAATGTTGTCTGCAGCTCTTGGTTTTGTTTAACTTTGGGGTTTACACAAGAAGAGGTAATGACGAGAAGAAGGCAGTTCGTCTGCAGCCAGAGTAGAAGCTTGAACAGTGACCCTAGCAAGTTTCAACTGATAAGATTTAAAATTCCCTCCCCCCATATGTTCTGTTCTGTAGCTAGTTTTCCAGAATTTAGCAACTATCTAGCTAAACAAAGATCAGACTGACTGCCTAAGAATCTTTCAGATAGAGACATCATAGAGCTGTGTGTTAGAATTCCTAATGTTTAGAAAGTTGGAAATAATTTATACATAATTATTATAATTCACAGACCACTTTATGAAATAAAATAACAGTGAAAAATTGCCACACAAAAGCCTAAACAAATTACTGTTAAAGAGATTGACAATGTTAAATGCTGATATCTGATACATTCTCAAAGGCAGGGAGTTTCATAGTTATGGAACTAAAGAAGATCTTCACTTGATAAATTGCTCCTCAGACTTTGCCCATTAGTAGCATGATATGCAAGGCTGTCTTCAACAATCAGAGAGGCATAGACTAGTACATGTCTAAACTGAAAACAGTTCAGGTCAAACTAATCACTGGAAGCCTTCCAATTAACTACAGAATAAATCGACAGAACGTATAACTATTAAGCGGATATTGGAGAATTGGACTCCACCACCTGTTCACTAAATATTTATTCCTTCTGCCTTGTGGAAGTTGTCAAGGTTGGGTTGGACAGCTGGACTTCTGAGGTAGCCAATGCCTCCTTGACTGATAGTATGATTTCCACTTATTTAAAGGAAGTTGAAGTGAACCTCCTAGAGAAGAAACCTGTCTTAGCTCCAGTGGTTTCTGGCAATTCCCAGAATTTTTCCTGGTCAGCTCCAGAGAGTACTGGCTGATGCCAATTTCTTTCACTTATTCCAATCTGGTATTAGGATGGAAACAGCCCTAGACTTCCCAATAGATAACGTGCTGGAGAATGGGTGAGAGAAGTGTGATCTTATTGGTTCCCCTAGGTTTCTCAGTAGCTTTCAAAACAATGGTATAATTGTGGGTTGTTGATCTGGATCATGGCGTAAAGAGGTTCCACTCTTTCCTAAATAGATATCTCAGAAGGCAGTGCTAAGGTCATTAATTCATGGGTTATCTCAAGTTTTCATCTTGCCTCCATGCTTGTCATCATCTCTATGAAACCATTGGGAGGACCATCTTGATGTTTTAGATGGAAGCATTTTCAGTATACAGATGGTACTCAATTCCACCTCTCATTTCTGTCTCAGGCTGTGTAGCATGAACCAACATTCAAGTGGAATGGATGAAGCAAGTTAAACCTTATTGCCGATAAGACAGAAGTACTGTAGGTAAACAAATTAAACTATTCTGGGTGGATATTTCCAGCTCTTAATGAAGTTGCATTCTCCGTGAAAGACCAAAAGCACATTAAGATGTATAGGTTCCTACTGTATTCCATAAGAAAGGCTATTAAAAGGAGGTAAGGTACACATGCATACTCCTATATTTAATAATAAGCTTAAGGCTACAAATTACAGTTCTACTTAATGTGTAATGAACTATATATATCCTGTATTAGAAATCTTTAATTCAAAACATGTCATCTTTTCTCTTTACTACTATTCTGCTTTAAGCAACCCTAAAAGTGAATAAAACAAGTAATAATAATGAAGTGAACTCTGCAGTTATTTGCAGTAACTTTAGATGAAAACAGGTTTTATCTCAAAGAGATAAAGAGTTTAAAAAATTCGGTTAGTTTGAAAAGGCTAAAAATCACACACACAACCATAAATCCATGACAAGGTTTCATACCTGCAAGAAAGAAGTCTCTTTACCTGTGAAAGGTAAATCTGGAAAATACAAACTTTCAGCATAACAATTTATAATTATCCACATTTAGATTTTCTAAACCGTTTTTCACTTTTATTTCAAATGTTACCTAATGGTTTGTCTCTATTGTGATTGATGGAGGGTGGAAAAAGTTTTTTTCCTTTAAGGATATCCTTTTAATGAGATTTCACAGGAAAGATTATGATATGTTTTCACCATAGGATGATCCTTCCCTAAAACCACTAAGCAAACAGAGATACTGTAAAATAAAGATTAAGCTCAGAATATTTACTGGACCACTTTGCCCACACTTTACGATTTGCAATCAGGACACTTCTTGTCTGTCTCCACTGAGAACAATTGGCTTTGCGGGCATGAGGAAAACTTTTTGTCTCCTCAACTTAATACCTGAAGAATTATCATTAAGCCTTTAGGAAAGCCAAAGAAACCTGTTTATTTTTTGTAGATGTCTTTTAAGCTGTGCTTGTTACTGGACAGAGATGGCTTTTGTACTTAGTATTTGGGGGATGGGGTGAGATGTTTCTTTTATCATCTCTGGTTAATTTTAATATTAATCGCTGTTGTGTTTGTTATTGTAAGCTGGCCTGTAAGGGTTTGTACCCTGAAAGGTAGCCAAAGAAGATTTTTATTATTTGGTACAAAAAAGCTTATGAAATTTGGGCCAAGTAAGCTTCTCTGGGAAGGGAATTTCAAAGACGGGGTGCCAATTCCACTGATGAGCTCAGTCCGGGTAAATTCACATAAGGGTAAGGCTTTTTGTTTCTGTTGTTTTATTTCAGCCCGGCTATTTTCATATGTTGTCTGTTTAATTTAATTAATTCCTCTAATTGTCTTTCAACCTTCTGGAAGAATGTTTTACATAGATACTGGTTGTTGTCGTTTTACTGTACTGTTTGTCAGTTGCTTTGAGCAGGTAAAACATTTTAAATAAATAGTAGAGAGGGTCTGTTTTTTCTTACTGAAGATAACTGCAAACATGCATCACTTGCCCCAAAACTCCTCCATTCTTGGAAGATGTCTCATTTCCCCCCCCCGGATAACAGCTTATTTAATACCATCATGATTCTTTCCCCTAACATTAATACTGCATTTTGAAGTGAAGCAAACCGTCTTAACTTAGACAGTTTTCTCTATTAAGCAGACAGATCAACCAGAGCAGCAGGAAAGGATGGTGAGGGGTGGGGGGGGGGGGGGAAAGGAATCTTAGGAACAAATCTCTGAGGAAGTTTTCCTGTCTGCCAGACTGAACAATAAAATGATATGGGAATTAGACCAAAGCAAAGTCTAATCTTCTCTAACTTCATGCTATCTACACCCCCCTCTCCTTGCACTTTAAAAACATGATTATACTTGTAGTCCATCAGGGAACGTAAAGGATCTGAAGACTGCTTATCTTCTGATCATCTTGCACTCTAAATAACTCAAGCAGACAAATGCAAGGGAAAGGGCAGCGCCCTTCAGAAGCAGGTTCTGATAGCAAAACTAGAGGTTAACTAACATAAATTACCAGATCGCCAGAGATGTGGGCCTTGAAATTAATGGTGGGATGCCAGAAGTCCATTATGAATATTCAGATTTTGGATTGACTTGTTTATTGGATTTATAAAGCTCCCTATTCATCAAAAAATCAAGGTGTTTAAGGGCAGCGGTTGAGGATGAGTGTGATGGTTGGCTATGATATCCCTCCTCCACTGATACCAAAATTGAAAGACTCTGTCCTATTGGGAGGCTTGGAGAATCACTGCCAGTCAGAGTAGACATTATAGAGTGAGAGGTATTGATAATCAGGTTCAGTGTAAGGGAGTTTCATAAATGTACATATATAAATTCTCCATATAAGAAAAATATAACCCAAGAAGCAGCAGGAGGTTGTAAGCTGTTTGCATCTCTGTGTCAGTGGTGGGACAGCAACTTCTTGCTGACTCCCTTGAAGGCCCGCTGTGTTTAATGATCAAATTAATGTCCTTGTTTGTTTGACACATTCCAGGCGGATACCTTGAAGGTGTTTACTTTGCAACATGACCCAAGACTTCACCATTTGTTATTGTCACCCAACCCTAATCATACACAAAAACACCCCAAGGGACATATTCTGGCTTTTTCTCTGTTATTTCAATTGAAAATCAACTTAAAAGTAAAGGGTGTTATTCCCCTCACCTCCCCAAAATAAATCATCCAATTGTTTTGTGTGAATAGCACCTTTTGCACGTGAACTTTTAAGAGCCAGAATTCTGGGATACCAAGGACATGGAGGATAGCAGTTTTATCTTTGTTCTCCCCTTCAATAAGAATATATATATCTTGGAAATAATGTCAGTGGGTTTGCCCCGAACTGAATCACTCCTACAGCAATCCTTCCTTACCATAAGAATACGTTGATGTGACTGATATGAAATGTCAAGTTATTAAGTTCCTCATCATTATAGAACTTTTTTGGGTGGGTGTGATGAGAAGGTGGTGGATATCATAATACCATCTATTTTCCATCAAGACCAGCTGAATGAACTGGAGGGGCTGTTCTTACTTGTTCTAACCAGTCCTCTTAATAGCAAACTCAGTGCTGGTTGACAAAACTTCTGAAAAGTTTTCTTCCCTGGCAAAAAGAGCTGCCTGGAATTGGTTTGGAACTGGGTGGTGACAAAATTGAATCCAATCCAATCAATCAATCAATGAAACTAAAGTCATTGCTGTTTTTAATTTATTATTTATTTATTAATTAAATTTATCTCCGCCCATCTCCCCCTAATGGGGGACTCATTATTGTTTATTCTCCAAGCCTCCCGATAGGACAGAGTCTTTCAACTTTGGTATCACATATTATTTTTGTGATATGCCTATCCATGACTCTGAAGCTTCCTTGGTTGCCTCCTCTTCCCAACCTAAAAAAAGTCCTATGGGAGGAATTCCCTTTCAATGTCTTTAATAGAAAGCTGTGGACTACAGGAAAGATGTCTGTACAATAAAAGAGAGATCATTCATACACACCCCTTGGCTACTTTATAATACAGTCAGTGGAAGAAGATGGCAAATCTGTACTAATTGTTGAGTCGTAGCACAGTAGCCTCAACCAATTTAGTCTACCTCTATCTGCACTTTCCTTCCATTCTGTTGTCTTCACTATGTTTAATTTAAAATGCAAGTCACTTTTTTTTTTACTTCATCAGGCAGCATGCACAACATCCATAAAATTATAATTTCATAACAATGTAAAATGTATGTTTACATTTCTCAGTAATCACAGCACTTTTGTGTTCGTTGACCAAAACATGGGGAGGTGAGAACAGAACAAGTTAGCCATGAATGACTGAGTAAAATCCATCTTACAGGCTTTGTTTTATGTTTCAGGCTATATTAGGAATATATACTTACTTTTTTTTTAAGGCATAGGAATATACAATATACTGTTTTAAAAGCCATAAGCTCAGGGAAAGGGCTTGGAATGTTTTTATGAAGACATTGGAATGTTTTGTTTTGTTTTTTTATCATGACATTGATCCATTCAAGACATTTTTCAAAGGCAAAATAACGACATCACCGATTTTTATACATTCCACGTGCATTATTACTGCTCCATTTCCATTCCACATGCAGAAATCATAGTAGCTGAATATTATTTCAACACTGGTGGAAGAATAATAAACTCCATTGCACCTGAGGGCAGCAGCCTAGATTAGAGCATCCTGGGCACATATCCCAGCTCTCTCCTACTTTATGTCTTCCCTTCACCAGTATTTCCTGTCAGAGGAAACTTCCTCCCTCTACTTAAGGATAGGGCTTGTCCTGATCCTTAAAGAAGTCTCAGGCTACCACAGGTGTCCTTGTGGCTACAGTCTTGCAATGAGATGCATTACCAGCTAAAGAAAATAAAGCCATTTCTCTGCCCTTGAACACCTTGTGCAGATCGATGTTCCCCAGTTAGGCCTTGGAATCCACTGAGTGGCACAAGATACATTAATTTTTCAAGGGACATAATTTGTGCGGGGGGGGGGGAAGGGTGTCGGAAGGGAATGTGCCTCAATGCCTTGGCAACTTCCAGGCACAAAAGAGATGCTGTGTTTTCTGTCTCGACAGATCCACTCCTCTCATTCACAAACTCAAGCAGAGCTGACTTTTAGACAGAACGTCTCCTGCTGAAATCATAGATTGCTTCAGGCCTTAAAGGCACAAAAGCTGTTTTGTTGTGGGAGAGAAAAAGGGATTCACTGATGCCTGGGCTGGATACATTTGTCAATGTAAATGATTCTTGTAGCACCCAGGCGGAAGCGGGTTACATCTAAGAGGAGGTGGGAAGTCAGTGAGATCAATTTACGGCACAGAGAGAGGAGACAGTAAATCAAAGATGTCCACAGGGATCAGGGTTTTTTTTCGCCAGAAAATATTTCTTTTTTATTGATGAGTGTTTGACTGATGTGATGCACGCTGATAGCCTTTGCAAGCTTGCTTTCAGATACTTCCAAGTGTGATTAGGTTTCATGTGAATGACTCTGCTATATTAGCA